CTTGCTGTAAAGAAAAGAAAGAATTACAAAACAAAATTGAAAAAGAAGTTAATTTTATTCATAAAGAAAGAAATTATTCAACGGTAAGATAATGTTATTAACAAAACTCAAATCAGAATATATTCATTTTCAACCAAAGTTTTGTTGTATTACAGAAAGAAAATACAAAAAAAAAGAAAAAATGAATGAAAATATTGATATAAAAACAAGGCTACAAGAATTATCTTCATTTATAAAAACAACAAATATTTTACTGCAAAAAGAAATAAAAGAAATAAATGATATGATAACAAAAAGGGAAAAAGAACATTTTTTACATTCTTACAAATTACTTGATAAAATTAATGAATTAGAAAAAAAAGATAAAAATGTTTTATCTGAAAAATCAACATCTGATGAAGCAACTGGATAATCTGGTAAATCTAGTGCTCAAAAAACATTTAATTTACTTTGTAAAGGAGAAAAACCAGAAGCATTTAGTGAAGGTAAAAAAACATTTGATTTACCCAGTAAGGAGGAAAATCTATTAACATTCGGTGGATCTTGTCAATCAAAATTTGGTTTTGTGCTCATATGTTCATGGCCTCATGATCAACCTAGTGGATTATTTTAAAAAAAATTTTTTAATATAACATTTTAAATTGTAAAAACATGTAATAAATTGTTTTTCTTGAATAAAATTGTTTTGCAATTTTTTACATTTTTTTTTCATTTTTTTTACATTATTAAATTTATTTTTTTACAATTTTTTTCAACTTTTTTCAATTTTTTACAATAAATTTCATTTTTTTACAATTTCCTCTATATTTATACTTTTTCCTATATCTAGTTGTATCATAAATATTCAATCACTCAAAGACAGAAGATGTCTTTCAAAAGTAGAATTAATTCAATTAGTCAAGATCTGAAATTTTTTTGGAAATATGATGGTCAATACTTGTTTATGACAAGTCTTCTTCATATTGGATTTTTTTTCTGTCTTCATAAAGTAACAACGTGTTTGGTTCAGCCTGCTAATATAGGTGTTTGTGATTAAATTTATCTCCACTTTTTTTGGTAAGCATATTTTAATTTTTATTATTTATTAACATTATGACACTAACTTGTTTATCATCATTTTTTTAGAAAAAATTTTATTAAATATTAGAATGTGTGCACTAATCTAAAAGGGACAAGCCAAAGAATTGCAATGAAAAGTGTTCTCCATTTACCTGATTTAAAAAGGAACTTGTTATCAGTTCAAGCAATGATTAAACTGGGAGCAACTGTTGTTTTTAAAGATGATGAATGTAAAATTTCTGAAGATTCAAGGTTTCTGGGAATTGGAGAAATGCAAGGAAAAATGTATATGCTTAAAGTTATTCCAAGAGAATATGTGCATGTTGCTGAGAACAATCCCGAAATGGAGTTATGGCATTGTCGATTTGGACATTTGGGAAAGGATAATTTGTCTAAACTAGTCAATAATGATATGGTGACAGGAATGGTGAGTTCAAAAGATGAAGATATGTCAGACGTGTGTGAAGCATTTATAATGGGGAAACAGTGCCATGCACCGTTTCCTAAAAGAAGTTTCAATCGTGCGACTGAATTGTTTGAAATAATCCACAGTGACGTTTGTGGCCCAATGAATGTCAAATCGTATGGAAAATTTCAGTATTTTGTAACATTCATAGACAATTATTCACGATACACGCAAGTATATTTTCTTAAAGGTAAAAATGAAGTGTTGGAAAAATTTCAACAGTTTGTCAATGAAACAGAAAATCGTGGCAAAAGAATCAAAGTCTTCGTTCGGACAACGGTGGAGAGTATTGTTCAAGAGAATTTGGTGATTATTTGAAGTCAAAAGGAATAACCCACCAAACAACAGTTCCATATTGTCTTGAACAAAACGGCACCGCTGAAAGGTTGAATGTACAGAATCTAGTTTACGTCATGCAGGTATGCCAAAAGAATTTTGGGCGGAAGCATTGAATACCGCTGTATACATTCGCAACCGTAGTCCGTAGTCATCAAATGAAATTACACCATTCGAGATGGTTCATGGTGAAAAGCCAAACGTATCGCATCTAAGAGTTTTTGGATGTATTGTATATATGCATATCCCTGATGCTAAAAGAAGTAAATTAGATAAGAAATCAGCTAAATGTGTATTCGTTGGATATCTGGAAAACATCAAAGGATATAAACTATACAATCTCGAAAAGAAAGCATTTTCTTGCAGTCGAGATGTCATATTTGAAGAATGGAAATTTCACGAATGCAAGTCCAAGGACAGTTCTGAGTTTGACCGCAAGAATGATGATGATAAGACTACTGAAATCGAGGCAATTATCAATACAGAAAACCGTACGGGAGAAATTACAAATGAAGTAGATCATCCTGAAGATAATGTTCCAATACCATGTAATGGTCCAGTGGGAGCCACGTATGAAGATAACTTTCTAAGAGATGTGGAAAATATCAATCCACGACGTGAAAGGCGACCACCACAAAGATTTAATGACAAATTATATAATTGCAGAGAAGATTTAACCGCAGATATTTATTGGCCAAGTACTATCGCTGAAGCATGGAATGGAAAGAACAGTAACGAATGGAAGAAAGCTACAGAGTTGGAATACAAATCATTAATCGAGAATGATACGTGGGATCTTGTACCACCACCCAAAAAGAAAAATGTGATTTTTAGTAAGTGGGTGTTTAAAATCCGATGGAACAGTCCAAAGATTTAAAGGTAGACTGGTAGCACAAGGCTACACTCAATCACCAGGTATAGATTATGAAGAAGTGTTCGCACCTGTTGTAAGATATACTTCGATAAGATCGTTACTTGCAGTTGCCACAATTTGTGACTGGGAAGTCCACCAAGTCGATGTTAAAACTGCATTCTTACAAGGAAATCTGGAAGAGGAGATTTATATGAAACAACCCGATGGATTTGTTGATAAAGAACGACCAGGTTACGTTTTTAGATTAAAGAAAAGTATATATGGGCTTAAACAAGCGGCGAGATGCTGGAATAACGCGATTAACACTTATCTGTTATCAATTGATTATACGAAATGCACTGCTGATCCCTGCATCTACATCAAATCAGTGAAGTCTAAAGATCGTACAATTAAGTTCGTAATTGTAGCGATATATGTTGATGATATGATGTTCTTTTCAAATGATGTTTAGATGTTGCAACAAGAAAAGAAAGCGATGGCAATGAAATTTCAAATTGAAGATTTAGGAGAGCTGCACCACATCCTTGGAATGACAATTTTAAGAAATCGAGGATCACGAACAATGTCTATTACTCAAACAAATTATTTAGAAGGTGTGCTCAAGAAGTTTGAGATGGATAATTGTTAGTCTGTTTCAACACCCTTGGAAACAGGAAAGAAGTATGAAAAATTGTCAGATGAAAATGAATCATTTGATAGACGAACCTATCAAAAAGCAATTGGTTGTTTAACGTACGCAGCAACAATCAGTAGACCAGATTTGTTCACAGCCGTCAGCATACTGTCTAAGTTTATGTCTAATCCTAGTATACAGCATTGGAAAGGAGTGAAGCGAGTATTTCGTTACATTAAAGGAGCACTGAATTATGGCTTGGTTTATACTGCTAAAAATGCAAGCACGATTTTGACAGGATATTCGGATGCAGATTGGGGAAGAGACATTACAACTCGACGTTCAACAACAGGATACGTTTTTCAAGTACAAGGTAACACAGTAAGTTGGTGTAGTAAACGGAGGCAGAGTACATTGCTCTGAGTACTAATAGTCAGGAAGGGATTTGGTTAAGAAGATTGCTGGAAAATATTTCAAAGAAACAAGATTGCCCCACCATCCTATAAAAAGATAATCAAGGAACGATTGAGTTAACTAAGAATCCAAAATTTCATAATAGAACAAAGCATATCAATATATCGTATCATTGCGTCAGAGAGCAAGTTGAGAAAAAGAACATTACTATCAAGTATTGTAGAACTGAAGATATGTTAGCGGATGTAATGACTAAAGGATTAACAAAAAATCATTTTGAAAAATGTAGAAGCAAACTGGGACTTTTGGAAGTTTAAGAACGACGAAGTATATTATCTATGAACACTATTAGTTAAAATTTATTAAATATACTATGATTATTAAGTGGGAGTGTTAGAGGGGAAACATATTTATAATAATCACATTAGTATATTACCAGTCCGCGTGACTACAGTTACGTAATATCGTTTTCGCTCTCTTCATACTTTGTTATGTTGATGAACACACTGTTATTGTTATACAAATAAAATCCATATTAATCACAATGATGTGACTGATCATTTTAATAGTCTCGACATATGTTAAGGCTATTTTCGCAATTGATCAATTTAGCAGGTCATTTATACACAGGGGCGGATCTAGACCGATGCAACCGATGCGAATGCATCGGTCAAAATATTTAGATATTAAAATCAGCGAGTTTGCATTTTATTGAAATAAATAGCAAATATTATTTTCGAATTATTTAAAACGCACATTTGACAGTGATATATTGTTTAGTTAACTTATAGATTTAGCAGTTTTAAGCTAAAATTTGTTCTAGAAATAACATTTGTGTTCTCCGATAATTTTGTCGTATTCCATGACACAAATAGCGAAAGAAAAGTCGATAAAATTTAGCGAAAGAAAAGTCGATAAAATTTAGCGAAATTTTGTCGTGAATACATAATTAGTAAGTAATTTAATAGTATTCTGCCAGCACGTCACGGTAGATGGAAGAGGCATCGCTACGTCACAGTAGATTTGCGATGCATCGGTCCCGAGTCCTTTTCCGCGTGAAATCTACTGTGACATCAGCAAAACAATTGTTTTAGGGCCTCACGTCACGGTAGATTTTGCCGCTGAGCGATGCATTTTCCATAATTTTGTGATTGTGGGCACATGGCACCGATGCATTCAACTTTGAACTTCAAAGTTGAGAATGCATTGTTATTTGATCACTTGATATAACTCGCAATCATCGCTCGAAGTCATGGCTGTCGAGAATATCAAACACGTTCTGTGTACTCTGCTTCGAGAAGAGAAGTCATTTGATATTAATGGAATGCGTCGAACCTATGAAACGAGAGCTGCTACTTTTATTTCAAAATCCTCTCCTTGGAATCCCTTTTCAAAGGGTAAAAATGGCAGAGATATGTCAAGTGAAATGTTAATACCTAAGCACTTGACAGTTCATTGGCAAAGTGGAGAACTAAGAGCTTTAAAGTAAGTAAATTTACCTTTATGCTTGCATGTTTTAAATGTAAATAGTTTACTCATTTCAGACTCAGAGTGTAGTCGTGTAGATAACGACGAACAATCATCATAAAATATACACGATGTCATATTACTTATGCAGCACTTATACTTGTATTCATATGTAATATAATACAAACTGTAATATGCAGGGGTAGGTGCGATTTTAGTTGCATTTTAGTTTATGTATTGTATGGATTACATTAAAAATGTAATGACTGTATTCCTTCTTCCAATATACTTATGACTTCAGTAGAAGCTAACATTTTCTTTTCCAAATAACCCTGTCAGACATTTAAGTTTTGAATTCTTCTGATTTCTAATTTTTAGCCACACAATGAGAATTTTCTTAACTCTGCTATATATTTTTAGAACTAGAGGTGATGGTAATTGTCTGTACAGAGCCTGCTCAAAATTACTTTGTGGCAAGGAAGACCTATGTCATTTGCTGAGAGACTTGACAAGCATTGAGCTATTCAATCACCAGGAGTATTATGCTAACCACCCTTACTTAAAAGATAAGTTGCATTTTTTTAAGTCAGAAAATACTGCTTTTTCTGCATCAGTATCAGATGTGGCTTTAGGCAATGGCTATGATAGGAAAAATCCAAGCACAAAGGTAGTAGTAGTTAAAGAGGAAGCTCTAAATAATGCATGCAATGGTACTTATTCTTCACTTATGTGTATATTTGGTTTGTCTTCTGTCACTGGAATGACTATAATTTCAGTTTATCCCGAAAAGTTGGACCAGGAGACCAAATATTCACAATTTCTAAATGGTAAAATTCTTCCACGGCAAGCACACCAACATATTTCAAGTCAACTTGTTCAGCCTGCTAAGTTAATTTTAATGTGGACAACTACTGGTGCTTATTCTCTTCCAGAATTAGATATAGAATTTCAACCCAATCATTTTGTACCACTAATTGAATTTAATCAAACTAATAACTCAAGAGTTAATAATAAAAAAAAAATTACTGACCACTTTAAAGTTGATGTCTTACAGAAAAATAAAAGTGGACTTGAGCAACAAATAGACACAACTTTGGTAGCACCTGCAAAATCCTCACCAAGGGAAGACTTAGATGGCAGCAGCTATGATTGCTTGAAGACTTCCTTAAAACGTGGGTTAAATTAGTGATTGTTCATGTGCAAATATATTTTAATTATAGGTAAGTATGCTTTTCTAAGAACATAAGTAAAGCATACCATGCAATATAAAGTATTCGTTGTGGGATGGAGGATAGTTTTTGTACATGTGAATAAATCCTTCCTTCTAAACATGAGATCGTCAAATTGGCAACAAGCTTTCACTCAAATGCACCAAAAACAATGACCTATGATATATGACCTTGCATGTTAACACATTCAGGCTTTATTATTTTGAATGTAGTCGTATACCTACATCTTAGTAATGTTTTATTTAGGACCTCTTTCATGCGACTTTGAAGATGGAAAAGTATCAAATGCTTCTTGTCTCTTGTCAAAATCTGTAAAAACTGATATGACAGATGTTGATCCCTTGGATATTGGACATTTTGTATCTGTGGCGGCCCTAGATGACGACACAAAGCTAAGACTTATAACAAATCACTGGAAGCCTCCCTTCTTTCAATTTTCCTTTTCTGAGAATGGTAAATCTTCAAGAAAATTTTGTGCTGGCTGGCTAGATCGTTGGTCCTGGTTGTGCTACTCTAAATTATTTGATGGAGCCTTTGTTATTATTGCGTTTTGTTCGGTCATCAAACAGGACATAATGGTTCAAAGCTTAGTAAATTATTTAAGGAACCCTTAAGAAACTGGCAAAGTGCGGCAACAAAATTTTACCAGCATGACAAATATTCCCTAATTCACCGTGACTCCAAGTTACGTTTGTCGCAGTTCCAACGTGTGATGAAAGGTAAAACTATTGGCATCGACGAACAAGCCGATCATCTTAGAAGTGCCCGCATTCAATACAATCGTGACGTTTTAGGCTCTATTATTAAAACTATTATACTGGCAGGCAGACAGAATCTTCCCTTACGAGGCCATCGTGACGACTCAAAGTATTTTCTATCTTCTAATCCTGGGAACTTTCAAGCCTTTTTGAATTTTAGAGTAGACGCGGGTGACGCGAAACTAGAAAAACATTTTGAAAATGCAAGTAAGAATGCAACTTATCGTTCGAAGACAATTCAAAACAAGCTGATAAAGATCTGCGGGGAACAAATCAAAGAAAAGATTGTTTCTGACATCAATTCTAGTGAATGCCCAATTTACTCAGTCCTTGGTGATGAGGCAACAGACTGCAGCAGTATCGAGCAGATGCCAATTGTTGTAAGGTATGTTGACTCAAAGCAAGAAATTAATGAACGATTTATTAAATTTGTTGAGTGTGAAGGAATGACTGGCGAAGCGCTAGCGAAGAATATCGAAGATACTTTAAACGAAGTTGGGCTACTACTTTCCAACTGTCGTGGTCAGTGCTATGATGGTGCCAGTGCAATGTCAAGCAAATCAAAGGGAGTTGCTGGTCGTATTTTAAAGAAAAATCCAAAAGCTTTTTATATCCATTGCGCCAGTCATCGATTGAACCTTGTTGTTGGTAAAGCATGTGGTGAGCAAACTGTCAAAAACATGTTGGGGCATGCTCAAAAGATCTTCAGTTTCTTCAGCCCATCCCCCCTACGAATGCAGTGCTTGAGGCAGAATATGGAAAAGTCTGGGTTACGTCGTAAAAAACTAGGAGCTCCATCCACAACGCGTTGGGTTGAACGGATACGTACACTTGATGGATTTGTGGAAGCATTTGTACCTGTTTGTCAAAGTTTAGAGTACATGAAGCTCAATATGAATAAAGATTTTGATAATTCAAGTCGGGACGCAGAGGGATATCTTCGTTCCATAAAATCTTTCGAATTTATTGTTAATCTTGTGATTACATCAAATGTTCTGCATCACACAATGTCGTTGACTGTCCAACTGCAGCAAAGGATGATCGATATCGCTGAATCAATTAAACATATAAATCTTTTGAAGTCACAATTAAAAATTTTACGCAGCTCGGCTGATACAATTCATTACCAATACTACGAAGAAGCAGTGGATTTAGCAAACAGAGTAAACGTTGATGAAAAAATTCCTCGACTTTGCAATGTTCAGACAACTCGTGAAAACTATCCTGCACATACAGCACGTGAATACTACCGCATAAAACTAACCATCCCTCTTCTTGATCACTTGATTGAACAGATGGAATTTCGGTTTTCTTCAGAGGTGTGCGACATTTATCGTGGATTCTATATTATACCTAGTATTTTTCTCAATTGCAAGGACTTTAATTGGAAGGAAGAGTTTATGAAGTTTGCTGTTGCATATAAAGAGGATATGCCACACTTTCGGAAATACATGCTGAATTAGGATTGTGGAAAACAAATTGGAAAGGGGGCTTTGAGAAAGTTAAGTACGATTCAATTGCCGACACGCTTCGAACTTGTAACAAACTTGCGTTTCCAAATATATTTACAGCGCTTAAGATACTCGCTGTTGTGCCAGTCACTACATGTGAGTGTGAAAGATCCGTTTCTGCCCTTCGTCGAATGAAAACTTGGTTACGTAGCACAATGATCAACGAAAGGTTAAATGGATTAGCCCAAATGCATATTAATGATGATATTAAGTGTGATGTCGAAGAAGTGATTAATACCTTTGCTAGACAAAACCCAACGAGGATGCAATTTCTTGATATCCTGGAGGATAAAGAAACAGATGCTTGACGATGAGCTCCACGAGAAATTCTTAATGCTGATAAACAACCTACATTTTCTTTGAGAGTTATCTTGTTTTCAGCCGTTATTGAGAGGACGAAGACCACGTTTAAACATTGATTTTCTTAAACATTTCATCTTTGCTGTGGTTGGAAGAAGACGATCTTTCAACATTGCTTTTATAATTGTTGTCATCTTTGCTGCCGTTAGAAGAAGACCATCTTTGAACATTGCTTTTATAATTGTTGTCATCTTTGCTGCCGTTAGAAGAAGACCATCTTTGAACATTGCTTTTATAATTGTTGTCATCTTTGCTGCCGTTGGAAGAAGACCATCTTTGAACATTGCTTTTATAATTGTTGTCATCTTTGCTGCCGTTAGAAGAAGACCATTTTGAACATTGCTTTTATAATTGTTGTCATCTTTGCTGCCGTTAGAAGAAGACCATCTTTGAACATTGCTTTTATAATTGTTGTCATCTTTGCTGCCGTTGGAAGAAGACCATCTTTGAACATTGCTTTTATAATTGTTGTCATCTTTGCTGCCGTTAGAAGAAGACCATCTTTGAACATTGCTTTTATAATTGTTGTCATCTTTGCTGCCGTTAGAAGAAGACCATCTTTGAACATTGCTTTTATAATTGTTGTCATCTTTGCTGCCGTTAGAAGAAGACCATCTTTGAACATTGCTTTTATAATTGTTGTCATCTTTGCTGCCGTTAGAAGAAGACCATCTTTGAACATTGCTTTTATAATTGTTGTCATCTTTGCTGCCGTTAGAAGAAGACCATCTTTGAACATTGCTTTTAAATTGTTGTCATCTTTGCTGCCGTTAGAAGAAGACCATCTTTGAACATTGCTTTTATAATTGTTGTCATCTTTGCTGCCGTTAGAAGAAGACCATCTTTGAACATTGCTTTTATAATTGTTGTCATCTTTGCTGCCGTTAGAAGAAGACCATCTTTGAACATTGCTTTTATAATTGTTGTCATCTTTGCTGCCGTTAGAAGAAGACCATCTTTGAACATTGCTTTTATAATTGTTGTCATCTTTGCTGCCGTTAGAAGAAGACCATCTTTGAACATTGCTTTTATAATTGTTGTCATCTTTGCTGCCGTTGGAAGAAGACCATCTTTGAACATTGCTTTTATAATTGTTGTCATCTTTGCTGCCGTTAGAAGAAGACCATCTTTGAACATTGCTTTTATAATTGTTGTCATCTTTGCTGCCGTTAGAAGAAGACCATCTTTGAACATTGCTTTTATAATTGTTGTCATCTTTGCTGCCGTTAGAAGAAGACCATCTTTGAACATTGCTTTTATAATTGTTGTCATCTTTGCTGCCGTTCGAAGAAGACCATCTTTGAACATTGCTTTTATAATTGTTGTCATCTTTGCTGCCGTTAGAAGAAGACCATCTTTGAACATTGCTTTTATAATTGTTGTCATCTTTGCTGCTGTTGGAAGAAGACCATCTTTGAACATTGCTTTTATAATTGTTGTCATCTTTGCTGCCGTTAGAAGAAGACCATCTTTGAACATTGCTTTTATTAAAGTTTTCATCTTTTTTACCGTTGGAAGAAGACCACCTTTGAACATTGCTTTTATCAATGCTGTTATCTTACAAAAGACGGCTCATGTTATTTTTTCGATAAAATTTACGCTTAAGATTTTTCTGTCACCTTTCCCAAATTGCTGGAAAATGCTTCTCGGATAGTGAAAATTCAAAAATTTTCTGGGGGAGCATGCCCCCAGACCCCCCTAGCGGTGGCTCGCGCCTTTGGCGCTCGCAATGCATCGGTCAGCTAAGGAGCTGGATCCGCGCCTGTTTATACATCTTTTATTTCTTAACTGGTACCAGTTATCGCCAAACTACAGTCAGTTGACAAATTAAAAATCAGTAATTAGGAGCACTTACCCTCCCCCCCCCTCGACGTTTAGTGTGTGCACGTGTGTTATTTTCGCCAGGGGGTAAGAAAGAGAGTGTTCGGTATGTTTATTTGTATAGACAAAGATAATTTCAGCGTGGAGAAGGGATTATTTGCTCTTAGCAACCTTTCTTTAAGTGTGGAGAAGTAGCATTTCAACAAGCAGAAGTTAACATTTGCGTGGAGCAGTTCGTTTTCCATAGAGTACATTATATTCGTACGGAGAACACTCGGGTTTGTACGGAGAAACTTGATTTGAATGTAACAGCTACATATTTCTACGCCGAAGCTGTGGCACAAACGGGCCACCGTACCTATACCAACCTGGACGATCTACATCTACAAACATGTAGTATTCGTTGTATTATTTACATTGTTCTTAATTGTCGCCTTTCGCCTGCAATTTTCAGTAAATCAAAATTAACGTTGCACTAAAATGTAAACCAGTCAAACGCGTCGAGCGCGTCGAACGTCCTCAATGAGTCAACGACAAATAGATAGCTGTAGGGTAGATTTGAATAATATATACTTATTTCATGATATACTATTAACCGAGCCGAGGACTCGAGCTTGGACCCAGTGTCGCAAATTTGCAAACCATTCAGAAGCCGACTCGTCGCGCATAAATAATTCTTGATATCCAATTTAAACCAATTTAATATTTGTTTTATTATTCATTTTAACTAACGGAACTATTATTAAAGCATATTAATGTAAAATATTTTTGAAACCTTCGCTAATTTGTTTTTGTCAGACAGTTTATTCATTTTCGTCTTGTTTAAAATTTTTGTAATATGTTCAAAGCCAGCTTCGCCGCATTTTTAGTGTTTTCTCATCAAATGTACATTTAATTTGATCGAAGGAATGCCTTTAACTTGACTGTTGGGGCTGATCCAACTATGCAGCCTTTAATAATAGAATTCCCAAACTATTTTAATTAATAGTTGAATTTAAGCTTTCGATCTACTAGAAAATTGCCGTTCCTTGGTATAACAATAAATTTCAGATGCGCAGGAATTTTTGTTACAGTCAAACTTTTCTATTAATCTATTTTATAATATCTTGTGAGTGTCAAATTAACAACATTTCTAGTTGCATACGAGTTGTAATTCTTGATTTGTTAACTGCTGGTAAGTATAGAACTCAGCATGACTTCAACCATGAACTTTAAATCGAATGTATATATATTTGAATATGTACAACAAACACAAATCATGATTATCCAAAGCGCTAGCGACATATTTCGATGTTGACAGGAAAGAACGTTGGCTCCAAGAGCACATTCAATTGTGTACACGTAGAAATAAAGACTTCCTTAGAACTCTGCATCAACTTCGTAGAAAATTGGAACTTTAAATTTTCTATGTTTCCTATGAAAATTAGAGATTTTTTAGCCCGTGACATCCTACCCGCGAATCGCTACTGTAAGTTACACAATTCGCAAATAATACCTAACTTTGGAGGCAAAATTTGTGAACTTATGTCGGTCTGTTTATATGCAAGAAATTTTCGAACTACGCAATAAAAAAGGAGAGGGCTTAAATTGGTAATATAAAGAGTTCAAGGTCCGCATTCAAGCTACAGTAAAATATTTAAATTTGATCAGTTGTCTCAAAGCAAACATCTGTGCCTTGTAAGTTTTGTTTGTGTAATTAATGTACTTGATAATATCATTGGTAATAGTGGTGGTGGAAAACCGCATGAAATTCATTAAGACGGTCGATTCTATGTCCTTCCAGCAAAGTTTGTGTGATACTAAAATACATGTCGTCACAAAACAATTTTGCCATTTCCGATTGAGTATTAGACTAGATACACAAGTTCTTCTTTTAAATGATAATAGGTTTATTAGTAGGTGCATTTATAAACGTATACGCGTCATAATTCACTGTAAAAATCCAATCATCACAAATCGAACATCTACATTTCAAATCAAGCAACGTACACAATTCGAAACGAGCAAACATTCAAAACAAATACTCGCAACTCAAAGCATTACTCCAATGGAGCATAAAATCTTCACATCGAACGTGCGTTACAGACCATAGAAGGTCAAAGTTTTAGGATTCTATAGAGTGTTTGCACCTACGTTCAATAAGAGCTAACAATTTCAACTGCTGTATACTTTTACTTTTAAAAATAAATCGAACAATTTGAAATCAAATACACCGGAAATCATATACCGACTCAACGCCGTAAATTGATGCTGTGTCAATACTTGGAATAGAAGTATGACCTGTTATATTTCTTTGTCTATTTTACTTGGTAAAAGGAGATAAAATCCTACATTTTTTATATTCTACATATATATTTAAACTTTGTGTATAAACGTTGTAAATATAAGTATGTGAGAGATTGATTGAAAGAAGACATCCTATTTCATAATTTCAAAGAAGCAGTTTGTTTTAGACCAGAGTTTGCAGTGACCTTGATCATCAATTATAGTAATGACCGTTTGAAACGCGCTAATAATTATTGCATTATGCAATTCCCGAATAATAGAAGGAATTATATACAATTCAATACGTGTCTGTTTACGTGCAAAGAGATAAATTTGATAAAATATGAGATGAAGACTTTAGATATAAAAAGAGATCTTTTCCATTTAAAACCTATGACTTAAACTAGTTAAACTTCACTACGAGTTGTGTAACATGATTGATTTTTCCAAATAGATATTCACGATGATACAACAGTAACAAGATCATTTGACTTAATAGAAAAAAATTAGTACAACACAAACTACATCCATAGACAAAATGATTGGTTATAAATAATGTTCAGTTACATGAATTGCTTTAAAGGAGAAAAAGACCTATTTGAATTGGGCGAAGAAACAAAATTACCCTAAAAGCATTCATGATGAACCGTTTAAGTTGACCCATTGCCAATACTTAGCATTTAATGACCTATGGGGCGCCAAATTGGACTTTATTCTAAACTTAAGCCTGTGACACACGACGTGGTCTCCGAGACTTTTGTTTCCGAGACATGGTCTCCGATACAAAACTTTCAGAAACTTAACATGACAAACGAACTAAATGTTTCTGAAACTTTGCGGAGTCATTTTGTTTGTTTTTGAAATATGGCGGGAGACGACCTGACCGCTGCTACTTGTGCTGCCATTGTTTTATACATAGCAATTAAACAACGACGCAGAAGACAGAAAAAAAGAACTGTTTGGATAAGAGAATGGATGAAAAAAAGACAGCAGTATGGGGCATACCAGCATTTAGTGAAAGAATTGCGCTTGTCAGATTCGAATGGATACAAAAAATTTCTACGAATGGATCCGGAATCGTTTGGTGTCCTAGAAAGCTTGATTACGCCATTAATAACAAAAAAAGATACAAACATGAGACGTTCTATTCCAGCAGGTGAACGTTTGGCAGTAACCCTACGTTTCTTAGCAACAGGTTTGTAATTGCTAACTTATGTATCAGTATCGATGAAAAGTGAGCGTGGGGACATGTGTGGACTTTAGGCTAAACATGTAATGACGTTGTTTGAATAGAAGCGAGACATTCATTGTGTTTCTCTAGGTGAATCGTACAGCAGCTTACAATTCTTGTACAGGATAGCAAGACAAACTATGGGGCAAATAATCCCAGAAACATGTGATGCTTTATCAGAAGTCCTCAAGGATTACATTAAGGTAATTGTTTCCTCTAAAAATACATATATTAACATTATCCTCGCTAATTTAATTGGCAATACAAATACTTGTTGGTTGCAGTAAAGCAGTATTCTAATTGTTTTACATGTAGGTTCCAACAACTGAAGAGGATTGGAGGAAAGTAGAACAAGCTTTTTCAGAGAGATGAAACTTCCCTAACTGCGTGGGTGCTTTGGATGGGAAGCACATATTATTGAAGGCACCCAACAATAGTGGTTCCTTTTATTTTAACTATAAAAACAACTTTAGTATTGTACTTCTAGCATTGGTTGATGCTGACTACAAATTTCTGTATATTGACATTGGTAAAAATGGTAGAGTATCTGATGGTGGAGTGTTCAGAGAATCATCACTAAGCAATGCACTGGAAACAAACAGCCTAAACCTGCCAAGTCCGACATCCTTGCCAGGTGATGTAACTCAAATCCCATATGTAATTGTGGCAGATGATGCTTTTCCACTCAAACCTTATCTGATGAAACCATATGGTCAACGCAGCATGACAATGAAACAACGCATATTCAATTACAGGTTAAGCCGAGTTCGCAGAATAGTAGAAAAGGCTTTTGGCATATTAGCAAATAGATTTAGGGTATTCATGACACCAATAGCCCTACAACCTGATTCAGGTGAAAAGGTAGTTTTAGCTTGTTGCTCCTTGCACAACTTTTTGCGAGCCAGAAATGAAGGATGGAACATTTACACTCCACAGTTTATGATGGATAGAGAGGATCATTTTACCCATGATGTGATTGAAGGTGAATGGAGAAGTCAACCTATTGCAAGTGGGATGACTTCTTTGGGACAGCAAGGAAGTAACAGATCAACATCTACAGCCCAATCTGTTCGAGAACACATCTGCAACTACTTTAGTTCAGATGCAGGATCAGTTCCTTGGCAAATGAGCAAAATATAAGCAAACATGAGCAAAATATAAACAAACATGAGCAAAATATAAACAAAGCTTGATCTTGGGTTAGTAATATTTGATTATTTAGACCAAAATGGTACAATGTATTGCATGATATTATAGACAAAAAATGAAAGATCGTCAAGCACAACACCCATGTAAATTTACTAAAAAACATGTTTTTTTACCTTCTGTGTCACCAACTTTTGTTATCAACTAGTTTTTGTATAAAATAAAAAGCAAAAAACTATTTATATTTATTTTTGTTCTTGTTCTTGTTCTAAAGAGTTTGGTAGGTCTTTTCAGCCATCTGATCAAATACCAATTGATTAGTCAAAGGCTGATAAGATGTAGGACTAGGACTGTCACTAGTGCCTGATTGTACAGATGAGCATGGGCTGTGACTGTAGTGAGAACTGGAATAGGGTACTGGACTTGTAGTGGAGAAAGTTGTACAAACTGAAGTTGACTGTGCTTCAAACAAAATATTCTGTATTCGTACTTTAGCCAACCTTTTTGCTGAATCATTTTCAATACATTTAATTTCAGATGCAATATACCTTCCAAACAAATCATCAGTACTTTCATCAGCAGAAGAAACATGGACTGAACTCAAGCTTGATTTTTTCCCTGATGCAATAATTTCTAGGAGATCTCCAGCTTTTTTCAAAATTCCTCTTTCTTCAATATCTCTTTTTTGTGCTTTTGTAGCTCTTGATTCCTTGTCTGAGACATTAATTGGGCGCTTTGTGGAAGATGTGATTGAAACATTTTGATCTAGTTCATTGTTATCATCTTTTTGTTCTTGCTCTTCTTCAAGAAAAGTAGAGTTGCTAGTGTTGCTATTTTTACTTGATCTCTCCTATATAAAAGAGAAAAATAAATTACTTCAAAGTAAACCCTAAACATACATGTTGCATTAGCTCAAACTAAGTTCTCAAACAAGACAACATACTTTATCAAGATTGGAGCGAGATGATCTACATTCCACATGATCTTTTAAAAACAAAAGCAGTGTCAAATATTGCCATTTGGACTTTGGTGTGACATCATCTGTGGCAGAACCACTTTTGGGTTTGGTGCCTTTGGCAATTTCTTTGCAGAACTGACTTCTAAGGTTTTTGATTTTGCAAGAAACATCCATTGCTATAAAGCGGAAACAACATGAGACATATTTTCCCGTTCAAACAGGCTGAAAAACTGAATGTAATAAAACAGTGGCTGACTGCTGAAAGCCTGAAACATGTTGAAATAAATTGTCATTCTGCAATAGTTGGAAAATCGTTTATAACAATAGAAATCAGCCCTATTCTTTATTATCGTCATTTAAATGCACATAAATATTTACTTCATAAGTATTACAACGTAATGGGATTCGGTATACTTATCAATCTGAATTCAGTAAAAAATGCTTACTCACCACTCATTTCTAAAGCACTCGCTATCTCCGCAATTGCATTCCTCCTAGCCACTCTATCATGATAGTCAGGGAGCGTTGTATTATACAATACTGGTTTAGCCTCCCACAACTCTGCCAAACGTTCAACTTTATCCCTTGTCCATTCGACCGCCATCTTGTTTTTCTGTCTCATACCACGTGACTTTAATTGTGATATTTAATTGGCCGAAAGTTTTTTGTCTCGGAGACTTGTCTCTGAAATTAGAACACGTTTCTATTTCGGAGACCTAATCTCAAAAAATCTCCGAAACAAAAAGTGTCCGAAACCTAGATGACACATTGCGAAACTTTGTGTCGGAGACCAGGTCTCGGAAACAAAAGTCTCAGAGACCACGTCGTGTGTCACAGGCTTTACAATTATACGTGGCAAACTTTATATACTTCGAGGCAAGTCTAAAAAATATATGGGAAACTTTTCATATACGTTCGAAACTTCTTGTATCGTATCGTCAAAATTTATAGCGTTCCAATTTTCATATACGGTATGGCGAACTTTTTACATCGTATTCCAATTTTCATATACGGTATGGCGAACTTTTTACATCGTATTCCAATTTTCATATACGGTATGGCGAACTTTTTACATCGTATTCCAATTTTCATATACGGTATGGCGAACTTTTTACATCGTGTTGCCTAATGCTTTGCGATCCCACTTTGGATTTCATATGAATTTAAATATATTAGTGCCCAGGTCCCAGGTTTTGAGAGAAGTGTATTGTTTTGATTTTGACGCCGCCATATTGACAACATGTTTGCATTCGGCATTGTGCTATCTCGACTTTAAACGTAATAATTCAATCAAAATAAACTCTCACTACATGGCTGAAAATACTGGAAACTTTCGGGCTGCTATATCAAATCTTGCTCAGGAGGCGCGTAATCTTCTGGATAATTTCGATGATAGAAATACTTTGACAATTGAACGTCGTCTGATAGAATCAAATTCTCAGGCAACTTTGACTCAGGAAGATGGGGGAAATATTGAAGGAAATTCTTTGTCCGTAACTTCTCTACCCCTAAATCGACCAAGTCTTCCGTCCAACAGACTGAGTCAATCCGTTTCAAACTGCCCAAATTCAAACACAAATAATATTGCAATGACACGTGGGCAAAGAAGCAGTGCAGATGTACCTGCGGCTCTTCGATGGTCGTTTCCAACACTTTCATCAACTACTTCATCAAAGAAAATCAAAAGACCACCATCAAAAAAGTTAAAGAAACATTGTATTGTTCACAAAGATCTTGTCCTACTTCCATTTTCCACATCTCAAGCAGTACCAACTCATCAAACAAGATGTCAGCTTGAAAATAGAGGATTTGTAGTACATGCATGCCCAATTGACAAGTCTTGGGATGAGTTTGAACTCAAAAACAAAATATATCAATGGTTTCCTATCCTAGAAGAAAATAATATTGATATTGACTTTGTCAAATCTTGCTATGGTCAAATTGTCACTCCAAAGCTGGCAGGAGGTGTTCAATTCACTTCTGCTCGAGTTTTAAGCCTTTCCGGACAAGGAAGTATTTATATAAGACCAAAAGAGGATCTTCCCGATGATGATGAAGGTACATTTAGTCCAGGAACAGAAACATTTTCTGAAACATCTTTGGATATGCCAAGCTCTTTAGTTTCCAGTCAAGAGCAAGTTTTCAATAACAATGAGCCATGCTCTTCGTCTATAACAAGTAATAAAGGGAGTGAAGCTACCTTACGAGAAATGTTTCCAAACAAGGATGGTGATGTGTTACGTCATGCTTTAGAAGTAAGTGGGACTGTAGATAGAGCAGCTTTGGCACTTTCTGCAAACAGCAACGAGCAATTATTATCAATTAATGAAGATACTGATGATGAAGTTCTTATTCAAGGTGTCTCTTCTTTGTCTGAAGAGGCGACATTAAATTCTATACTTGAAGATCTTTCAAAAAAACTATGTAAAGAAAAAGAAAAATTAAAAGTTGAGGAGGAGGACCTTTTTAGTGATGCAATGTCCTATTATAAAGATCCCAATTTTGATGAAAGGAAACCATTGAGAGTTATTTACAAAGGACAACCAGCAGTTGATACTGGAGGGGTTGCCAGGCAGTTTTTTACAAATTTGCTCAATAAAGTGAGTGAAATGTTTTTTGAAGGTGATGCCTACCAAAGTCCAGTATATAATGCTGGTGTTGTTGCGTCAGGAATTATGAAATATATCGGAACAATTATTGTCCATAGTATTTTGCAAGGTGGACCTGGTTTTCCGATATTCAGTCCTTCGGTGTACAGATATTTTTCCACTGGTAATTTTGAACTGGCTATGAGAACTGCAAACATTGGAGAATGTACTGCACACATAAAGAATTTCATTGATCAGGTGATATGCCTATTACGCATTGTTTTGCATGGTTTAAGCAAAAATTATAAAACCTCGGCTTTAACTGATAATAGTGTAGCAGGTCATTCATGGTATACAAAACAATTACGAGGGATTACATAGGGTTGAGTAAATATCAGGATGCTGTGCTTAATCGGTTCTCAGTATTTAAAATAGCTGATACATTACTTCTGTTAACCTGTCAAGCTGCAAAAGCCCTCTTAAACAAGTTAAGGCGCATTGTGTTAGCAAAGTAAAGTAAAATGTCAGGATGCACCGCACCCTGCCACTTAATATGTCAAACTATTGAGCATTAATGCATCTAAGTTTGACAAATAATTTCAATTGTATTAACTTAGAATTATTTTAGTAATTGATCTAACAACTCTATCATTGCAATGTTGTGATTTCTGTTGTATATGTATTGTAGATAGATGATGCTGATGATGTGCAAAACTTAGATCAGGATGAGTGTCTCAACATCATATCTGAATGTGGCCTTACAGAAATGTTAACTGTATGTATAATGTGATTTTTTTCAGATATTTTTTAGTTAAAAAGCATTATGGTGTCTGCATTCACTTGTTATTTTTCTTAACTAAATAATGATAAGTATGATGCTAGTGATCCTTTGCATACTTGGAACTAAATAGGTAGTCGTGCTACGCATCTTTGATGATTTATATGTCCATTGTCTTAGCCATAGTATATTACTTAATATGATGCAATTCGATTTGAAACATAAAACGTGACCATAAGCACAAAGAATCATTGGTCTGTGACACATGCATAGTTTATGAATTTTTGCCCTTTATTTATCAGCTTTTTGTTTATTTTTTATGTATTGTAATTTTATACCAGAATGAAAATAAAAGGAAGATTATTCAACTACTAATCATCCATGATGTCATTGGCCGGCGAAAGATTGTTCTTGACCAAATTGCTGAAGGATTGAATACACTTGGATTTAGAGATAAAATGAAAGAATTCCCAGACAAGTTTCAAGAACTATTTGTTCCATGCAGTGAACAAGAAATGAGCCCATCAGCAGTGGTTGATGTTCTTGAGTTCCCAGATGTGTTAAATGAATGCGAGTCAACAATTGCTAATAATCTGCAGCAATTTATTCTTAATGCAGATCATCCAATTCTTGAAAAATTTCTGATTTTTACTACAGGTTCCACCAGACTGCCAAATTTTGGATTAGGTAAGATAAAAGTAAAATTCAATAGTGCCACTTCGTTTTTTGCTTCTACTTGCCTATTTAGTGTTACTCTTCCAAACCAGCTTATTGATCAAAAGTCATTCAATGCATCATTAAAAGCTGTTCTTGAGTCATCTAAGCAGTCATTTACTTCTCCGTAGGAATATAGAAGTAGGCATTCATAGACTACATAAGAATATAGCAACAAATATAGTTTGATGAAATGTTACGTTTTAGTTTTAAGTATTGTTAGTGTTTAATTGTTAAAGTTTTGGAACATTTTTTAAATGTTATCTTTCGTTAAATTTTTCTAGTTCAGTTAAGATATTGGCAATAAAAATAACAATTCTTGGATTTACGTAGTCATTATTTTTAATAAGTGACATCATAAGCAGACAAGAAATTATGAAATTTGCAAAAATAGCCTTGCCATGAAGAAGGTCGCTGCTTTAGAAGAATCATGTCATTTTACCCTTGTTGTTACGTCATATCTGTTAATGAAGGTACAAATTCAAGATGGCAAAAGCATTTTGATTGTTGCTTAATAAGTTGTTTTTATTTCAATGTATTTACTCGGAAATTGAAAGAGTTTCCAATGTTTCAAATGTATTCCCTAACATAGATGGCAAACTTAATTTTTGTTGCCAATTCTTACTGTAATAGTCGACATTGCTTGACAAATTGTTGAAATTAGTCAGGCATATCTACATATATTATTACATGAATATTACAGAGCAATCTTACACATAGTTACTGTGTGCCTTGATATATACTTCAATTGCATTGACATGCATGATCATCAGGGGCAGATTATCTGGGGGTGGCAGGGGGAAGCGCACCTTCCAAAAAAATTCCCCAGCACCCTCCTAAGAAAAATTCTAAAATGGGATTATGTATTCAGATGTTTAATATAACAGTATTAGAGGCTATGAAATTGTACAGTAAGACCGAGTAAAGGTCGAACTTTTCATTTCAAAAGCAATTATATATGTTATGCCACCACCATTTTCAATCGAGTATTACCATGTGCGTTTTCATGAAAACATTAAAGTTGAAATTAATTACTAAGTGCATGCTCAGACAAAAATCATACAAATTTTTTTTACAAAGGTAATAACATTTTCTTTATGCAAGTGGTTCACTCTTCTAAAAATTCTTAAAACATTGCGTTAATGGCATTCACAACATGCATGTACGTGTGAACTTTGTCAAATAAGTTGTTGTTTTGACTTGCTAAAGCTGCAATATAGGCAAACTGATCTTCAGTTAAATTTAGTGTTGTTTCAGGTACAACCACACCAGCTACATTTTCAATTTCATCACGTGCTTCTATTTCATATGATTCAACTTCATTGCTTGATAGTACATTGTCTAAAGTTGAGTTGCTTTGTGTTGCACATCTTACAATGCTTTCTGACCAAAGTTGCAAAGGCGATAGCCCTCCTTCAGTACTGATTCCATGGTGATTCCATTGATTAACAAACTCTTGTAAGGACTGATTAATGACTGTGACAAAAACAAGCTGTAGTGCAAGAAGATGTACCTCATTGGCAGGATTAAGAAGACCCGAACGTTCCATCATGTTAAATTGATCAATATAAGCCTTTAGAACACCAGTAGTAACATCTCTATGAAGCCTTTCAACTCGTTGGTTGTGAACTGAAGCACCTGTGATGATACTTCCCCTGTTTGTTCCACGGCACTCCAACATCATTCGAGCAACACCCACATTTTCAAGTCCATGATCACATCTCACTCTTGAAGGTAATGCATATGAACGACATGCATCTTGGAATAATTCTAAAACTGTGTTTGCTTTGTTGTTAGTAGCACAGCTTAAATATGGTATCAACCTGGAGTAGCCATCAATGGATGTATGAACCACCATTCGCCAGCGAATCATTTTATGGTTCCCGTCGATGTGCCACAGAGCATTTGCACAACCCACATTGTAATTTCTTCTGCGAATTGCTCCCCGCCAACGAAGTGCTGTTCCAACTGGATCCAATTCACGCATTAATGTCCTCACACGTGACCGTTGGACCCTTATATTTCGGCTCCTCAGTGCACCTACCATACGTGTTTGTCCTATTCCTGGAGTAACACTCATAATCTCTTGCATTGTTTCTCTAAGTTCAATGTCACTTATGGTAGACCAAGATTCTTCTACATCAATTTGAAACTCTACACGTCTTCGTTGTAATGTTTTTGTTGAGATACCCAATAATTCAGCGATTCTAGTCCAAGAAAAGTGCAATTCCCTTAGACATTCTACTAATCTCTTAGATATTTCGAGTCGCGGTTGACCTCTTGTACCTGTGTACCTTCTATGGCAATTGTAGGTTGGAGTATAAGGTATCTGATTCTGAAGGTCGTTGATAAGGTTCTGAAAGAAACTCTGAAGTCGACTTAAATAGAAGGATAACTGGTGCATGTCATTATAAAAACTCGCCATATCAAAATCATCCATAAGATTCAATGCTCTCTGTTTTAACGTGAATACAGTGTCTCCAGCATCTGAAAGTCGCTCATGTATGCGCTCTAAACCGTCGATATTGTCAAAAAATAGGTGTTCTGAAATGATAAAATGCTCTGCTTCAGCAATAATTGCTTTAGTTCTCTGAAAGAATGAATAAAGACTGTGTTCCGAGCCTCCAATGCCTCCTAAACCCGCCATTTTGAATTTGAGAAAAAAGCGCGTAAACCTGTAAACGAAGTGAGATCGCAAAGCATTATGCAACACGATGTAAAAAGTTCGCCATACCGTATATGAAAATTGGAAGACGATGTAAAAAGTTCGCCATACCGTATATGAAAATTGGAATACGATGTAAAAAGTTCGCCATACCGTATATGAAAATTGGAATACGATGTAAAAAGTTCGCCATACCGTAAATGAAAATTGGAGCGCTATAAATTTTGACGATACGATACAAGAAGTTTCAAACGTATATGAAAAGTTTCGCATATATTTTTTAGATTTGCCTCGAAGTATATAAAGTTTGCCACGTATAATTGTAAGGTTAGAATAAAGACCAATTTGGCGCCCCATAATGACGTGTAATTTTAATTTCAGACAGGAAGTTAAAAGGACTTATCACGTTGTAAACGAAGTCATTTTTTATAGTGATTTTTTGCAAGATTAATGTTTTCGTGGTCAAGGCTGAGAACCTCACAATAACCATTAGGCAAAAGCATCTTATGTAGTTAACATTGGTTTTAAAAAGCTGAGATTACTTAGACCATTGCCACTAGGATGCATTTATAGTAAAGTAATTTGAATGAATTGTTCCCACCTTTGTGCACAGTCTGTTTACAGGTATCAATATCGATGAGTTTTTAATTTCTCTGACTAAACAATTTAAGACTACCAGAATTTAAAATTATTTTGTATTTGCAGTATACAGTAGAGTTATTTCACATTAGTTTAAATAACTGTGATCATGGGAGAGCATATTTACCTGCTTGCAGAAATTGACCAAGACAATATTTGATTACTTGTGACTAGTTGATTGATTTAAGTCAAGATTTAAAAAACAATAACACATTTTAATGGAAATTTTGAATGGGAACTTTGTCCAAGTATCATGCTTCAGAATTATACGTTATTTTGAGTTCGTGATGCTTTAAAGAATGTTAAGTTTGCTTAAATACGTTTTGGATGGACGAAGTCAATCGACACGGACAAAGTAAGAAATTTATGCAATTAATAAGCAAGAAAACTTATCAATACTCTTCTCACAAAACATGCTGGTGCCCAATGGTCACCACAAGGAGGTTTTCAATCCTCACCACGAAAAATTCCTGAAGAAAACCAATTAAAATTTGTACCTAGGTAATAATACAGCTGCCATGTTGATTCTTTAACCCCAATGACGTACAGAAAAACAGGGACGTCACGTGCGAACACATTATTTGGTCAAGTCGATTCAGTTAGTAAAGTTTAAAAAAGGATCACCGTCCTCATTTGCTAAAAACCTTTAGAAAACTACTTTATGTGCAATGTTGTAGTACTTTTTTTACATCACAAATGGGATCTCAAATTATTTACCGAGAAAATTAATAACGATTTTAAAAGGAAATTTTATTAAATGACAAAAAAAAACAAAATGTAAATTTAAATATGTGGAGTAATTAACTATAACTAGTTTGCATGCATTGAAGATTAAAATGTTCCTTTTAATAGCAGTTATAGTACTTTACTATAACTTTTAACTCTGTCGTTCTCATCTTCTCCAATATAGCTGAGCCGTGTTCCTCTTTTGGCTATATTTTCAAAACTTCCACCCTCGCAGTTTAAATTAGGAAATAGGAGATAATCGTATTGTTGATCTGTCACGATGTATGATGACACTCCATCGCCACATTCACTATCTCCCTCGAAATATTTGCTAACATCATCACATCGGTCTTCTTCATAAAGCTGTGAAAATATCTGTCTCACATAAAATGGTCTCATCGTTAAATCGTCATAAATAATTAATGCTAGCTAGTCTAAAAGTGATGATTATTGATTATAAATGAAAAACGTCTATATGCCGGCATATTTTACATTTTTTCTCTTCGTACTAGCACATTTCTCACCTTGTACTTTCCGCAAAAGTTCCTATGCTGGAACAGCACTATGCCAGAACTACCTGGAATGATTCTTACCGAACCATTGATTCCATTCAGTTTTTGAAATCCTGTTCTCTCTTCTATAATTATTGTTTCACATTCTTCTTCAGGGCTACAGCTTTTGTACACAATCCACGCACCTCCGTTGCTTTCGGCTATCGTGTAGTTAGTTAAGGCTGGCTTTAAGTTATAAGAACCATTCTTTAAATCTTGGCTGTGAATAGTCTCTACAGTACCATCACCTTCATTTTTAAATGTGATCGACATGACTGAAATGGAAATATTTCCTTTCTTAATCGCAACTAACTGTTTGTGACAAATCCGAAAACTTGTTTCTTTTATATTATCTCATCCGACACGTGACTTATCTGCCTGTGCTTACGACTTGTATGTGTTGGTATGCGTGTGTACGTGTCGGTAAGTTTGAGAACAAACACCTACGTACGGAAATATGTGTCTAAAATACGTTTGCGAACTCCTGCACTTTTTATCGACGGGTTATATTTAAAAGTGGCAATGTGTAAACGAGAGAAGTTTTCGTCTTTACAGCTTCTGGCAGAAATTAAATGTAATAATTACAAAAAACATTGAGATTTGGAAAATTTTTGAGAACATATATTTTACTCGATCATGATCTTTTGCATAGCAATATGTGTACACCATAATGGATAAAAGAGCATTTCATTTTTGTCTTAAAAGCGTGATTTAACTTTCAAAAATAAAGTAATACAACGGTTCTACATAATTCTGATTGCGTGCTTTTCAAATTAATTATTTAATGGCATATAAATAATTGTTCCTTCACCTCGATCCGTGAGTTTGTTATGTTGATATTTAAATCTGCAATTGGAATAAACAACGGCATGTCGTCATTTCACATTTTAAAGTCGTTCTTACCAAAGGATTGCTTGGGTGTTGAAATGTAGTTTGGAACTTTCAATTTTCTCCAAACGAGGTAAACAGCGAAATGGACCTGCAATTAATTATTTGAATTTGCATAACTTCATTCTCATATAAACGTGATGCTATTGTTGTGACAACTGTTCGCCTGTGGTTTTGATCTGATAAAAAATTTTTGACCTTGACATCTTACTCTATTGTTCGCATCAAATTATTTAGTATGCTTTGACATGTTAAGTTAAAATTAAAACAAATTAAGTTCGTGCGTTGAAAAGGTATCTGTCCTTTTTTCTGTCGTTATCATCGGCAAGGGCGAATTTAGGAATTTGCAAATTTGCGGCACAGAAAAAAAAACCCAGGCGACTTTAAAACCCCGCACATCCTACAGTTTGTATAATCCTGTCAGATTTTCAGTAATAAGTAGAAATGAAGTTACTATTTACGATTTATAGTTATCCTTGCGTACGTGCGTTCGATCTGCAGCCGTGCAATATTGCACAGAATAATATTCGTTATATTATTTACATTGTCCTTAATAGTCACCCGTCACCTGCAATTCTCAGTAAATCAAGATTAGCGTTGCACTAAAATGTAAACCAGTCAAACGCTTCTTGATTTGCTACAACGCGATAATTTACCGAAATTAAACTTGTCATAAACTTGTGGGCGTGCTGTGGGTCGAGCGCGTTGAACGTCCCCAATGAGTCAACGACAAATATATAGCTGTAGTGTAAATTTGAATAATATATACTTATTTCGAGATATACTATTTGAAGAGCAGAGGACTCGAGCTCGGATTCGAGCTCGGACTTGAGCTTGGACCCAATGTCGCAAATCTGCAAACAATTCAGAAGCCAACTCGGCGCGCATAAATAATTCTTGATATCATGCGAAAAATGAATTCAATAATTGTTTTATTATTCACTTTAACTAACGGAAATATTATTGAAACGTATTAATGCGAAACATTTTTCAAACCTTCGCTAATTTGTTTTTGTCAGACAGTTTATTCAATTTCGTCTTGTTAAAAATTTTTGTAATATGTTCGAAGCCAGCCTCGCCGCATTTTTAGTGTTTTCTCATCAAATGTACATTTAATTTGATCGAAGGAATGCCTTTAACTTGACTGTTGGGGCTGATCCAACTATGCAGCCTTTAATAATAGAATTCCCAAACTATTTTAATTAATAGTTGAATTTAAGCTTTCGATCTACTAGAAAATTGCTGTTCCTTGGTATAACAATAAATTTCAGATGCGCAGGAATTTTTGTTACAGTCAAACTTTTCTATTAATCTATTTTATAATATCTTGTGAGTGTCAAATTAACAACATTTCTAGTTGCATACGAGTTGTAATTCTTGATTTGTTAACTGCTGGTAAGTATAGAACTCAGCATGACTTCAACCATGAACTTTAAATCGAATGTATATATATTTGAATATGTACAACAAACACAAATCATGATTATCCAAAGCGCTAGCGACATATTTCGATGTTGACAGGAAAGAACGTTGGCTCCAAGAGCACATTCAATTGTGTACACGTAGAAATAAAGACTTCCTTAGAACTCTGCATCAACTTCGTAGAAAATTGGAACTTTAAATTTTCTATGTTTCCTATGAAAATTAGAGATTTTTAAGCCCGTGACATCCTACCCGCGAATCGCTACTGTAAGTTACACAATTCGCAAATAATACCTAACTTTGGAGGCAAAATTTGTGAACATATGTCGGTCTGTTTATATGCAAGAAATTTTCGAACTACGCAATAAAAAAGGAGAGGGCTTAAATTGGTAATATAAAGAGTTCAAGGTCCGCATTCAAGCTACAGTAAAATATTTAAATTTGATCAGTTGTCTCAAAGCAAACATCTGTGCCTTGTAAGTTTTGTTTGTGTAATTAATGTACTTGATAATATCATTGGTAATAGTGGTGGTGGAAAACCGCATGAAATTCATTAAGACGGTCGATTCTATGTCCTTCCAGCAAAGTTTGTGTGATACTAAAATACATGTCGTCACAAAACAATTTTGCCATTTCCGATTGAGTATTAGACTAGATACACAAGTTCTTCTTTTAAATGATAATAGGTTTATTAGTAGGTGCATTTATAAACGTATACGCGTCATAATTCACTGTAAAAATCCAATCATCACAAATCGAACATCTACATTTCAAATCAAGCAACGTACACAATTCGAAACGAGCAAACATTCAAAACAAATACTCGCAACTCAAAGCATTACTCCAATGGAGCATAAAATCTTCACATCGAACGTGCGTTACAGACCATAGAAGGTCAAAGTTTTAGGATTCTATAGAGTGTTTGCACCTACGTTCAATAAGAGCTAACAATTTCAACTGCTGTATACTTTTACTTTTAAAAATAAATCGAACAATTTGAAATCAAATACACCGGAAATCATATACCGACTCAACGCCGTAAATTGATGCTGTGTCAATACTTGGAATAGAAGTATGACCTGTTATATTTCTTTGTCTATTTTACTTGGTAAAAGGAGATAAAATCCTACATTTTTTATATTCTACATATATATTTAAACTTTGTGTATAAACGTTGTAAATATAAGTATGTGAGAGATTGATTGAAAGAAGACATCCTATTTCATAATTTCAAAGAAGCAGTTTGTTTTAGACCAGAGTTTGCAGTGACCTTGATCATCAATTATAGTAATGACCGTTTGAAACGCGCTAATAATTATTGCATTATGCAATTCCCGAATAATAGAAGGAATTATATACAATTCAATACGTGTCTGTTTACGTGCAAAGAGATAAATTTGATAAAAATATGAGATGAAGACTTTAGATATAAAAAGAGATCTTTTCCATTTAAAACCTATGACTTAAACTAGTTAAACTTCACTACGAGTTGTGTAAAATGATTGATTTTTCCAAATAGATATTCACGATGATACAACAGTAACAAGATCATTTGACTTAATAGAAAAAAATTAGTACAACACAAACTATATCCATAGACAAAATGATTGGTTATAAATAATGTTCAGTTACATGAATTGCTTTAAAGGAGAAAAAGACCTATTTGAATTGGGCGAAGAAACAAAATTACCCTAAAAGCATTCATGATGAACCGTTTAAGTTGACCCATTGCCAATACTTAGCATTTAATGACCTGTAATTTTAATTTCAGACAGGAAGTTAAAAGGACTTATCACGTTGTAAACGAAGTCATTTTTTATAGTGATTTTTTGCAAGATTAATGTTTTCGTGGTCAAGGCTGAGAACCTCACAATAACCATTAGGCAAAAGCATCTTATGTAGTTAACATTGGTATTAAAAAGCTGAGATTACTTAGACCATTGTCACTAGGATGCATTTATAGTAAAGTAATTTGAATGAATTGTTCCCACCTTTGTGCACAGTCTGTTTACTGGTATCAATATCGATGAGTTTTTAATTTCTCTGACTAAACAATTTAAGACTACCAGAATTTAAAATTATTTTGTATTTGCAGTATACAGTAGAGTTATTTCACATTAGTTTAAATAACTGTGATCATGGGAGAGCATATTTATCTGCTTGCAGAAATTGACCAAGACAATATTTGATTACTTGTGACTAGTTGATTGATTTAAGTCAAGATTTAAAAAACAATAACACATTTTAATGGAAATTTTGAATGGGAACTTTGTTCAAGTATCAATGCTTCAGAATTATACGTTATTTTGAGTTCGTGATGCTTTAAGGAATGTTAAGTTTGCTTAAATACGTTTTGGATGGACGAAGTCAAACGACACGGACAAAGTAAGAAATTTATGCAATTAATAAGCAAGAAAAATTATCAATACTCTTCTCACAAAACATGCTGGTGCCCAATGGTCACCACAAGGAGGTTTTCAATCCTCACCACGAAAAATTCCTGAAGAAAACCAGTTAAAATTTGTACCTAGGTAAATTCACTGTAAAAATCCAATCATCACAAATCGAACATCTACATTTCAAATCAAGCAACGTACGCAATTCGAAACGAGCAAACATTCAAAACAAATACTCGCAACTCAAAGCATTACTCCAATCTGGTCCTTCTTTGATATTGTAACAGTCAAAACAATACATTTTAATCTATACTTTAGCTGCGGCAAGCATAATTCAATGACAGTTTTGACGAAAGCCAAGCTTTGCATTTGCAGAGAGTTAGTGATTTTAAACAGGATCTTGTAATACGAATTGTCCACAAATATTTTAATTTTTAAAAATATCATTGTGTAGCATATTGAACAAAATTTTTGTCAACTGTTCTCATTTTATTTGTTATAATGGTGCTGCCTAATTCTTTGTTGGCGCTAATTGTTATTCTGCTAACAACTCACCGAATATCTAAAATATAGTTTTAACCGCACAATTCTAACCTTATTTTCAACCATTTTCCTTGCTATACAAGCTTCGTCATTTGAATAGTTTAGGGCTTATAACTCTATTTTATTTTCCTACAAACCTGTTATTGATCTTATCCATTTAATTGTTTTGCTCATAAGACCTCATACTGATGCAAATGTCGTAAAGCTTTCGCAAACAGGACTTTCAGCATCTTAGTTAGGACTTCAATTAGCATTATAGTTTAGTGTGGTTTTACCGATAGCAATAGCTCGTTGTATACATGCTGCTTATTTTTTGATCGGCATATGAAGTTTTGTTTTGAGTATTAATATACTCATAATATCTATTAATAATCGAATATCACATTGACGAGTCAGGAACTATGCTGACAACAATACAAATTATAGGCACTTAGACACCAACATATTTCCTTCTCAAACAACCATGTGATGTATGAACCCGACAAAATACTGAGACTTTTCTTTTCTTGACTGAGTTGACTTTGGCGATGATTGCTCTAAGAATTTTTAAACGTCATTCAAACAAGCACCAACAAGCACTTACGTTGACGATCATAAACATGCCAGTTATCAACAATAATTCTATTGCTACTTTGTGATCTTTTTTCTTCACTATGAAGTCACATGAGATGGGTGGCAATAACTGTTAATTTTAAGCAAATAGGCCTGGTCCTTCTTTGATATTGCAACAGTCAAGACAATACATTTTAATCTATACGTTAGCTGCGGCAAGCATAATTCAATGACAGTTTTGACGAAAGCCAAGCTTTGCATTTTCAGAGGGTTAGTGGTTTTAAACAGCATCTTCTAATACTAAATGTCCACAAACCGTTTAATTTTCAAAACTATCATTGTGTAGCATTTTTGTTATGCTGGTGTTGCCTAATTGTTTGCTGGCACTAATTGTTATTCTGCTTACAACTCACCAAATATCTAAAATATAGTTTTAACCACGCGATGCTATTCCTTAATTTGAACCATTTACCTTGCTATACAAGCTAGGTCAGAAGTATAGTCATATACTATTTTATTTTCCTACAAACCTATTATTGATCTTATCAATTTAAGTGTTTTGCCTCATAATGACCTCATACTGATGCAAATGTCGTAAAGCTTTCGCAAACAGGACTTTCGGCATGTTAGTTAGGACTTCAATTAGCATTATAGTTCAGTGTGGTTTTACCGATAGCAATAGCTCGTTGTATACATGCTGCTTATTTTTTGATCGGCATATGAGGTTTTGTTTTGAGTGTTAATATACTCATAATATCTATTAATAATCGAATATCACATTGACGAGTCAGGAACTATGCTGACAACAATACAAATTATAGACACTTAAACACCAACATATTTCCTGCTTAAACAACCATGTGATGTATGAACCCGACAAAATACTGAGATTTTTCTTTTCTTGACTGAGTTGACTTTGGCGATGATTGCTCTAAGAATTTTTAAACGTCATTTAAACAAGCACCAACAACGCACTTACGTTGACGATCATAAACATGCCAGTTATCAACAATAATTCTATTGCCACTTTGTGATCTTTTTTCTTCACTATGAAGTCACATGAGATGGGTGGCAATAACTGTTAATTTTAAGCAAATAGGCCTGGTCCTTCTTTGATATTGCAACAGTCAAGACAATACATTTTAATCTATACGTTAGCTGCGGCAAGCATAATTCAATGACAGTTTTGACGAAAGCCAAGCTTTGCATTTTCAGAGGGTTAGTGGTTTTAAACAGCATCTTCTAATACTAAATGTCCACAAACCGTTTAATTTTCAAAACTATCATTGTGTAGCATTTTTGTTATGCTGGTGTTGCCTTGTTGTTTGCTGGCACTAATTGTTATTCTGCTTACAACTCACCAAATATCTAAAATATAGTTTTAACCACGCGATGCTATTCCTTAATTTGAACCATTTACCTTGCTATACAAGCTAGGTCAGAAGTATAGTCATATACTATTTTATTTTCCTACAAACCTATTATTGATCTTATCAATTTAAGTGTTTTGCCTCATAATGACCTCATACTGATGCAAATGTCGTAAAGCTTTCGCAAACAGGACTTTCGGCATGTTAGTTAGGACTTCAATTAGCATTATAGTTCAGTGTGGTTTTACCGATAGCAATAGCTCGTTGTATACATGCTGCTTATTTTTTGATCGGCATATGAGGTTTTGTTTTGAGTGTTAATATACTCATAATATCTATTAATAATCGAATATCACATTGACGAGTCAGGAACTATGCTGACAACAATACAAATTATAGACACTTAAACACCAACATATTTCCTGCTTAAACAACCATGTGATGTATGAACCCGACAAATACTTAGATTTTTCTTTTCTTGACTGAGTTGACTTTGGCGATGATTGCTCTAAGAATTTTTAAACGTCATTTAAACAAGCACCAACAACGCACTTACGTTGACGATCATAAACATGCCAGTTATCAACAATAATTCTATTGCCACTTTGTGATCTTTTTTCTTCACTATGAAGTCACATGAGATGGGTGGCAATAACTGTTAATTTTAAGCAAATAGGCCTGGTCCTTCTTTGATATTGCAACAGTCAAGACAATACATTTTAATCTATACGTTAGCTGCGGCAAGCATAATTCAATGACAGTTTTGACGAAAGCCAAGCTTTGCATTTGCAGAGGGTTAGTGGTTTTAAACAGCATCTTCTAATACTAAATGTCCACAAACCGTTTAATTTTCAAAACTATCATTGTGTAGCATTTTTGTTATGCTGGTGTTGCCTTGTTGTTTGCTGGCACTAATTGTTATTCTGCTTACAACTCACCAAATATCTAAAATATAGTTTTAACCACGCGATGCTATTCCTTAATTTGAACCATTTACCTTGCTATACAAGCTAGGTCAGAAGTATAGTCATATACTATTTTATTTTCCTACAAACCTATTATTGATCTTATCAATTTAAGTGTTTTGCCTCATAATGACCTCATACTGATTCAAATGTCGTAAAGCTTTGCAAACAGGACTTTCGGCATTTAGTTGGGACTTCAATTATCATTATAGTTTAGTGTGGTTTTACCGATAGCAATAGCTCGTTGTATACATGCTGATTATTTTTGATCGGCATAGGAGGTTTTGTTTTGAGTGTTAATATACTCATAATATCTATTAATAACCGAATATAACAATGACGAGTCAGGAGCTATGCTGACAACAATACAAATTATAGACACTTAGACACCAACATATTTTCTTCTAAAACAACCATGTGATGTATGAACCCGACAAAATACTGAGATTTCTCTTTTCTTGACTGAGTTGACTTTGGCGATGATTGCTCTAAGAATTTTTGAACGTCATTCAAACAAGCACCAACAAAGCCCTTACGTTGACGATCATAAACATGCCAGTTATCAACAATAATTCTATTGCTACTTTGTGATCTTTTTTCTTCACTATGAAGTCACATGAGATGGGTGGCAATAACTGTTAATTTTAAGCAAATAGGCCTGGTCCTTCTTTGATATTGCAACAGTCAAGACAATACATTTTAATCTATACGTTAGCTGCGGCAAGCATAATTCAATGACAGTTTTGACGAAAGCCAAGCTTTGCATTTTCAGAGGGTTAGTGGTTTTAAACAGCATCTTCTAATACTAAATGTCCACAAACCGTTTAATTTTCAAAACTATCATTGTGTAGCATTTTTGTTATGCTGGTGTTGCCTAATTGTTTGCTGGCACTAATTGTTATTCTGCTTACAACTAACCAAATATCTAAAATATAGTTTTAACCACGCGATGCTATTCCTTAATTTGAACCATTTACCTTGCTATACAAGCTAGGTCAGAAGTATAGTCATATACTATTTTATTTTCATGCGAACCTATTAATGATGTTATCAATTTAAGTGTTTTGCCTCATAATGACCTCATACTAATTCAAATGTCGTAAAGCTGTTGCAAACAGGACTTTTGGCAATTTAGTTGGGACTTCAATTATCAATTTAGTTTAGTGTGGTTTTACCTAGAGCAATAGCTCGTTTAGTACGCGCTGATTATTATTTGATCGGCATAGGAGGTTTTGTTTTAAGTAATAATATACTCATATCTATTAATAACCGAATATCACATTGACGAGTCAGGAACTATGCTGACAACAATACAAATTATAGACACTTAGACACCAACATATTTCCTTCTCAAACAACCATGTGATGTATGAACCCTACAAAATACTGAGATTTTTCTTTTCCACACTGTGTTGACTTTGGCGATGATTGCTCTAAGAATTTTTAAACGTCATTCAAACCAGCATCAACAACGCACTTACGTCGACGATCATAAACATGCCAGTTATCAACAGTAATTTTATATCTACTTCGTGATATTTTTTCGTCACTACGGAGCCACATGAGACGGCTGGCAATGACTGTAATTTTAAGCAAATAGGCCTGGTCCTTCTTTGATATTGTAACAGTCAAAACAATACATTTTAATCTATATTTTAGCTGTGGCAAGCATAATTCAATGACAGTATTGACGAAAGCCAAGCTTTGCATTTGCAGAGAGTTAGTGATTTTAAACAGGATCTTGTAATACGAAATGTCCACAAATATTTTAATTCTCAAAAATATCATTGTGTAGCATATTGAACAAAATTTTTGTCGACTGTTCTCATTTTATTTTGCTATGGTGGTGCTGCCTAATTGTTTGTTGGCCCTAATTATTATTCTGCTAACATTTAACCGAATATCTAAAATATAGTTTTAACCGCACAATGCTAACCTTATTTTCAACCATTTACCTTGCCATACAAGCTTCGTCGTTTGTATAGTTTAAGGCTTATAATTCTATTTTATTTTCCTACAAAGCGAATGAAAATCTTGGAAAAATACTGTTAACAAATTTCATTTGACTGAGCAATGATTTTTAATAATTTAAATAAGGCAAGGTTTGACCAAAAAATGTAACATCTGCGTCGACGTAAGCACAAGAATTAATTAAAAAGCATAAACCGAATTAAAATAAAACTAAAACAATCTGAAGCGAAACAAAGTGTAAGAGAAATTTATGCTGTTGAGGCGTGTTCTTGGTTGGCCAAATAATTCAAAGACAAAATTTTGCATAAGCAATCTCGTACAATATTTCTTTGTATTCTTCTTCTGTGCTCCACTGACTTAAGGCAATCCTACAATCTGTAAAATCGTCATCTTCGCTAAAATCATCTTGAAAAAACTGTTTAAATGCAAGTGTCTGTGTGAACGTATTAGCTATGTAAGTGAAAACATTCAGAACCTATGTAACGTTGTAACAAGGTATATTAACGCCATATGCAATCAATTGGTTAAACGTGACCTTGTGTCTCAAAAAGCAGTGAAGTGTAGCAAATTACTACTCATAAAATACGAGAAAAGTTGTCTTTAAGGTCATTACTGATTTGACATTATCAGAGTTCGGAAGAGCTTTCGCTAAGACGTTGACAAGTTTGCTAAAAAGTTGAAGGTAAGCTGGTTAATTTTTTTAACTTTTGTAAGCTGCTTTCTTTTCTAAATCTATTGGTCGCACTTTGACAATTAACGTAAATCAACTAAATTAAAGAACTACTGCCTTGCCGTAGTATGAGGTTTAATTTCATTGCGTTTTGTCGTAGAGCATTTCATATTAAGATTTACAAAATGTCCGTAAAAGCGAGGTGACGGTGAAATGAGAGTTTGTGTAAGAATGTAATTGAAAGCAAATGAAAATCTCCACTGACTTAAGGCAATCTTACAATCTGTAAAATCGTCATGTTCGCTGAAATCATCTTGCAAAAGCTGTTTGAATGCAAGTGTCTGTGTGAATGTATTAGCTACGTAAGTAAAAACATCTATCACCTACGGAAAGCAATCAACTGTTGCAGATGTTCTGTACATTGATTGTTGTTGTACAATCATTATGCGCTCTATGATGAATGCCGTGCAATTACAGTTTAATTTAATTTTCATTTAAACACTGAGTTTGGCGAATCCCTTTGGTAAATACATGCAGTGTGCGAGGGCAATATGAAAAGCATATTTGCTGATAACACCCCTACCTTTTTCTGTCAAGTAGAACTGCAACTTAATATTCGAACAGAATGACTACTTCTGAACAAAAGTATCATAATATAAAACTAAATATATGTAGGAATTAAACCTGTGGCATAGTGTGGTAATGTGCATAATGGCAATGCAATAATATTTCTAGCATGTTGAAAATTGGTTTAAAACTGCTTGATTTTGCCATTGAGCTTGCTAACCATCCTGCAATGACACAATGTGTATGTGAAATTTTGTTTGACATAATATATACTTTTTATTGCTAAAATTCTTGACATATATATATTTTGCTTCTTGCAAAAGCAACAAACGTGGTACATTTCCATGCTTCTTGCAGCTGCTTGTTAGTAACGATTATAAGTTTTGGTGAGTACTACGAATTAAAATTTCACATACTTGTTTTGTTTTCATACCATGGAAATTGAAAGAAACGCATTTTTTCTCTTGCGTAACATCTGGAAACGAATCTCTAGCACCTGTAACCCAACAGCAAATTTAAAGTTGGATCAGTTTAACATTGAAATAACTAACTGTCGCAATTAAAAAGTATTTATCTTTGTACTCAAATAGTCTCAGCATAAACGTCATACACATACTTAACAATGTGAAGTATTTGGTACCATACTTTGAAAGTGAAGGAAAGCCTCACATATTTACAGTTTAATTCAATTCTTTTAGGAAAAATTAACAAAACATTGCAGTCTTAACATGAAGTTGGCAATTACTCTTTCTACATTAACTCTTGCATTTGTTTGTGGAACAACATTTGTGGAGAGTATTCACCCATTTTGGTTACCAACGACAAAACCAATGCCCACTTTACCTCCAATTAGTGACAAGGAGTTTTATGACAGTAAGTAAATGCTATGAACTTGTTACGTGGTAGTGAAAAGAAATGGCTTATCACATTGTTCTATTTTTGAAAGAAACTCGATGAGTAGCCATAATCATAAACACCCTTATGAAATACAAAAGATTTTAAGATAGCTATATAAGGAATATCTTAAAAATAAGAAATATCTAAAAAGTAAAGGATTTTGCTGTGTTTGCACAGGCTTATGCAAACCGCTAACACCTTGAAAAGAACTGGAGAGCGCAGACCAGTGCAAGCCAGAGACAGAAGGCTCTGGGTTGCACCTGCTCGAGAACTCTCACAAGCGTCTGCAAGGTTTACGTCTACGCCAGGGCAAATACGAAAACATCTTATTTTTTTATAAAATTACAATATATATTGTATTCATGGTTGATTTGTAAATCCTCTATAAATAATTGATTGATTAAATTATTAGGTTGAGATCATATCTGTTTTTGCACTAGCTAATAAACATCTATTGACCAATAAGCCCACAAGTTTTACGGATTTTGGTAAACGTTTTAACAAACAAGTTGTTCATGAAATATTTATTTCAGAATTCAAACAAATTCCTCCAATAACTGTGACAGCAGATAAAATTGTAAAGAAATTCTTTCGTCTGCCATCTTCTGTCCTGAATAAACGAAGAATCTACCTTGAAGACACAGCTGTTGTAATGGATTCATCTGGTTCCATTGGAGATTGCGAGTACAAGAAGGGAAAACAAGCTATAAAAAATCTCATAAATATAATATTACCTGACAGCATCGACGGTTACTGGGCTGGTGTTCAGTACTCCAATAACGCAAGAATTATGTTCAATTTCTTTCCTGCTTCACAAGCTGCCACAAAATCTGATTTGTTTTTTTTTGAAAATGGAGGGACGAACACTGCTGACGGTTTAGCAAAAGCAAAAGATTTATTTGATGATCCTACGAAAGGTAAGTTAGATTAGCTAAGATACGAATATTTCAAATATTTTGTGCACGTAAATACTTCATGATTTCTACAAAGAATGCATTAAAAGAATCCATTTTTTTGGATCACACAACAAAAAGAAGTTATTGTCATAACAGGCGTTTAAATGGCGTTCAAACAACATGATGCTTACAAAATTTCTGATATCAAAAACAAATCCTATCTGTCAAATCTCTCATATACTGCAGCAATCGAGATATTGTAAATTAAACAAGCAGTTATAGCTATATCAAATTATTTGCTGCATAAAGTCTAAAAGTTTTCATTCTATATGCTAGGTAGCCGTCTTTTGGTTTCAATTACTGGAAAAAGAATGAATGAATGAACTTTCTAAAAAAATGAAAAATTTATATTGTAGGAGTAAAAGATTGGGCTGACTTTGCCACCGATAGTTAATAAAATATTATAATACATATAGCTACGAATTTTCAGAGCTTGAACGGTAGCTACTCATTTTAAACACAAAAAAGAATACATTTGGTTAATAAGGCATAAGAGCGGTAATGCTAATTAAGCCAAAGCTTTGTGCCTGTCCGATAAAATTATTTTGCTAAGTAGTGCATGCTCATTAAAAGATTCGTGATTTTGAACATGTATAACACTGTAAGTGAGGAGATTATTTTGAGATTCTTTGTTTTTTTAAATATTACATTTCATAAGCTCGTCACAATGGTTTGTCCTGTATCTGTTGTTTGATAAAACGATAATAATATTTCTTAAACAAGAACATTTTCTTTCACAAATTGGATAAAATGTCTATCTTTCAAACTGTCTCAAACCAATGCATTCATTTCTTTTTTGTACAATTTACAGGAAGCCGTCGTGGTGCACGTCAAATGGTGTTCCTTGTGACAGATGGACAGTCAAACATAGATCAAGGCCAAACCGTTCCAAATGCAAGAAAACTGAAAGATGACGGTGTAGAAGTCTTTGTTATCGGTGTTGGAGATTTTAGCAGTGGAATTGAAGAAATAGTTCAAATTGCTTCATTACCAGTGGAAGATCATGTTCTCAGAGTTAAGAGCTATGGAGACATGATCGATGTTGTCAAACTTGTGATCAAAAAATTAATCCCGGTCAATATGTAATAGTTGAGAAAATTCCTCCTCCTTGTTAAAAGTGATTAACCCTTTGTCGCACTTGTATTTTTCTTCGAGAAAAATTAAATTTTTGCATTAAATGTAGCTATTTTTAATGACATGGAAGTTGATCTAACTGAAAAAAAAGATAAATTATGTTACAATACTGCTGTCTCTGATACACATATTACAATCTTAAGCAAAAGTAAAGATTTTGAAATATTTACTTCCGATTGCAACATTGCAACGCCAAACTTGGACCTCATATTTTTGCAACTTTTTTTCGCGTCATGCAAAGCCAGGGATCTGTATTACAGTTTACGTTTATTCAAAATCTAAAAACTAAATATTTAACTCTTCCAACAGAAAAACCTTTGAAATATTGCATATCTTTCATACCATAGATGCTTATACAGTGCTGTTGAAGGGTTGGGGGGGAGGGCGCTTGGTGGAGGAGCCTCACCCTTCTACATTTGAAATGGGTAATTTTTCATAATTTCATTGCTTCAGTTTCGTCAAGAGAGCCCCATGTGATAAATTTTTTTCTACAGGACTGTGATTATACAATTTTTTATGTTTAAAGGTCTTGCAAGTGAGATGCTAAACTTTAAGTATGATCTGCGCTGAGGTTTTTTATTCGTATTGATTCTGTACGTGTTGGCAGGCGAAAATAGCAAGTGCATGTATGTTGATAGAGAGACATGGTCATCTCTACTGCATTGTCATGACAACTGTCTCTAGATTATTGTGAAGCTTTTGTCTCATGCATAAACCAAGTCTCCAAATGTAGTAATAGTACATCACTTCAAGTTTGAAGTTGGTCTAATTCGCTTAACATGTGAGAAATTTTCACATTAATGTTTTCCTTAATTACATTGTCACCAAGCAACAATCTTAAATGCAGTGAAACTCAACTCATTTTATACATTTTTTTGAACTTCACTTAGAATCACGAACAAATATTAGATGAGTCTTTGAAAATTAGTATAAATAAATAAATAAATTAATTAATTCAGATTTATCTTAGTATAGACATTATTTCATCAAAGACTATTTTGTGTTCTGGAGGAGACTTTGCTTCATTGACAAAACAAAAAAGGCGATGACGAAAGCGTTAAGTAGTTTTTGGCTATAGCTCAATACTGGTACGAGTGGGTTGTAAAAAGTACACATAGTTTATTATCACCTAAGCATTGTGTATACGTCTTGATGAAGGAAAAAATAATCACTTTAGAATAAAAGATATTTTCTGTCATTGAAAAAATTAGTGAAAACACAGTAAACATTTTTTAAAGCGAAATCAAAGCAAATATGTTCATTTTTCCTATAAATTATCTTGATTTGCAAACTCTCCGTAATTTATTTAATTGATTGATCTCTGCAGTGGTAGAGGTCAGATTGTTTAAAGTGCTTATCTCACAATTTTTTTTCGAATTTTCTGATTAAGGTAAAAATCATAATAAAAGTTATTTTACAATTTTCTTATTGATGGCTTCGTTTATGAGATAAATGCGTTTCTTTTCTCAAAATCGGCAATAATGGCGAAAATTGCTGCGCGTTCAATTTGCTTGACGAGAGCCTGAATCGAGAAGTATGTGACGTAACATAAGGACAGGAAGTTTTTCTGAAGTGTGATTTTTACTATAATTTCTACTTCATCTACTACGGCTCTGCATCAAAATGCCTGATAGATGTGCAGTTTTCGGCTGTTCAAAACGAGCAAATTATGCGGAAGGAATTTCTCTTCACCGTATACCATTTTACGGTGATGAGCGTCCTGAAGCGAAGCGAAGACGTAAAATCTGGGTGAATTTTGTTGCAAGAAAACGCGCTCGATGGACACCGACTTCGTATTCGGCTGTTTGTTCCGTTCATTTTACTGATGCGGATTACGAAAAATACATGGTAGAAATCCCAGGGACGAAGAATTATACACCAAGGCTGAAAAAAGATGATTTTGGAATCACCGCTTATCCAACAATATTTCTAAAAGATGATGAACCAAAAAATCCTACACCTAGAGAGAAACGACGGGTAAGTAAAAAGATACCATCTGCAAATGAAAAGCGATTTGTTAGTGATATGCATGTCGCAATTATTTGTTGCTTCTTTAATGTTTCATTCCGTATATAGGTTAAAAACATGGTAAAAGATTTGGTGAGCGAATCATGCTCTACTTCAACTGATAATTTCATCGAAGAAGAAATCATCACAGAAACGATTGCAGAAGAACTCCCAATTGAAAACACTTTAACCTCCGCATCTAAATTGGCTGAAATCGATAAAATAGAACAGGTATTTAAATTCAGTTCAGTGTTATAAAGTGATAATATATTTTGAAGTACATGAACGCCTTTACAGACCCATCAAACAGTTGGCACCCAAACATTGCCTGCAGATTGTTCTGGTTGTTACAATCTGCGAAAGCAGAACAAACGATTATCTGGGCAATGGCTGTCAGCAAAACACAAGTTAAAAAAACTTAGAAAAGAAGGTGTGCTTTCATTGCCAATTTCAAAATATTTAGAATGTATCATGTTTCTCATTGCTCTGATTTTATTCTCATCCATGCAGTTGAGAGGGACTCCAGCATTAACACTGCAAATACTTCATCAACACGCAGTGACTTTGATCCTAGCTCAAACCTGGAAGATGGGGAAACAGACATGGTGGATGATGATGATTCTGATGGTGATGATTTTGATGTTGAAATGGAAACAAGTACTGATGACACAGAAGATGATGAAAATTTTTTTGATAATAGTGAGAGTGTTCATGATGCTGATGAATACTCAGAACCAATGTAAGATATATATTAAATAGAAACATTGTTCTGGCTTCACACTAATTAGTATTTGGTGTTACTTCTTTGTTCTTTAGAATCAACACTTCTGACAATGTGCAAAAGCAGCAGAAATACATTGTCTTCTTGACACAGCTTCTTCTGTTGTTTAAAACATGCATGTTTTGTCATGGAAAAAATCCAGTGGTTCATGTTTGTCAAAGTGGAACAATGGTGACCATAAAAACCATGTGCAAAAATGTTGATTGTCGTAAAGAATTTGTTTGGAAAAGTCAGCCATTGATGCCTGGTACGAAGATTGCAGCTGGAAACTTTCTACTTTCATTTGCAGTCTTAGTGGCGGGATCTTCAGCTAGCAAAACATTTCAAGCAATGAAGCATATGGGACTGCAAGTTATTTCACTGCCAACATACTTTAGACATCAGCAAGTATGGCATGTTTTTTTGGTTTAAGCTGCAGATCTAAAGGGTGACTAATATTTTAAATTACATTTATAGAACATTCTTTTCCCATCAATATTTATATTTTGGAGAAAGTACCAACAGAAACTGCTGAACTAAAGAATGTGGATCAGTTGTTCTTGCAGGTGATGGTCGTCATGACAGTATGGGGCATTGTGCCAAGTACTGTGCCTATACCGTCTTTTATTGTTCCACGTCATCCATTATTCACTTTTCCTTAGTTCAGGTTTATGACTACATCACATGTTTAATAAAAGTAGAGAAGAAAATGCTAATTTCAACTTCAATTATTCTAGAGAAATGAAGCTGGCAGTAGTCCTGCTATGGAATACATGGCATTAAAAAACACCATGGAATTGCTATCAAGCAGTGGCATACAATTATCAACATTTATATCTGATAGACACATATCTATCAGTAAACATATGAGGGAGAAAATGGCACATGTGAAGCACTATTTTGATTTATGGCATCTAAAAAAGTAAGCTGAATTTAAGATGTAAAATCTTGAGAGGAGTATGGATTTGCATGTCATTAATGGACAATTTAATGGTACTATTTTTGTAGAACTAACCAAAATAATAACAAAGCTTAGCAAAGAAAAAGGTTGTGAAGAATTGAAAAAGTGGGTCAAACCCTGTGGCAACCATTTCTATTGGAGTGCTTGTTCTACTTATGATGGTGATGGCAAAGTAATTTGGGCAAAGTTCAAATCTTTCCTGAGTCACATAGTAGACAAGCACACCAATTTGGATGATCCACTCTTTTCAAGTTGTTTTCATGGCCCTGATATTCAACCAAGGGAATATTTGTTAGAAGGTTTGTGAAGGCATTATTTAAAGATAACTTCCCTAACAGTTTATCATCATTCTTTGTTGTAATGTTTAAGGTTCAGTTGCCCATGAAAAGCTTTGTGCTAAATTGTTACACCCACAACTAATGAAGTCAATTCACCAGGCTTCACCAGTTGCTCAAACAAGTTGTTTGGAAGGATTCCATTCTGTCCTGAATCATTTTGCTCCAAAATGATTCATTATTCCTATGTTGGAATGTATTGCAGGTGGGCGAAAATTTCCTATATGACAATGTTAGTTGTTTTGCAACTTCCACAAGTCTTTATTGTTTTAGACACATTTTGGCATCCATCCACTTCACCAAAACTTAAGGCGTGATGTAAAGATAAAGAATGATGGCAGTTCCCAAATAAATGTGGTGTATCCAAAAAAATGGTGAAGGAACTGTGAGGGATGTCAGAGTTAAGCCCAAATTTGGTAAGTTGTTGCTAAATGTGTTGCTTTGCATCATTTCATAGTATTGAATACGACAATAATTTCTTTTTAGAGTATGTGGATGAATTATTTGAGAGTGTGTTGCTGTCAATAAAAGACAAAGACGCATTATCAAATTCACAAAATTTTTTGAAAGAAATGTCCCCACCACCAATGAATGTCATGCTGCCAAAGCAACCCAGATCTGAGGTGATACTAAAACAGGTCCGTTGAAAATGCATTGTGGTCAATGATGTCCCCCCCTCAATTCCAGGTAATTAATAATGATTATATAACATGTAGCTAAAAATGGTTTGAAAATCATTTTAAACAATAAAAATGTTTTTGTTTCATGCCAGCAGCTACAAGTGTGCCATTCAGCTGTCAGTCAAATGTGGCAGTTTCAAAGAAAAAGTCAGCCAAAATGTTTGACATGTAAGAAGCCAATGAAAGGTCACAAACATGTGGCAGATTGCCCAAAAATAGGAAAACTTAATTTTCACATCACTCATTTATTTTATTTTCCTCTATATTCCAACTTTTTATCATTAAATTTTGATCTTATTGCATGGTATGCACATGCTGGTAATGGTCTTCTTTCTTCTCCTAAGCATCCATAAATCATAGATGTGAACTCTCTGTATGCAACACATCGTAAAAACCTGAATATAAAGCCAAATCGTTACTAATGTGTCATAACACTAAAATATACTTAAATACTGGGAAATAACATAATATGCTATCATACATGTTTTCAGATCCTGTTTCTCTGTATCGTCTTTGTTCTCTGGTTTTGTATTTCATAGCAGCCATTTTTAGCGACCACTTTTCCAAACAAACTGGTCTGAAACCTGGGTGTAGAGTGACACAACATGGAATAGTTGACATATCTGCCAGAACCGACTGGTGAGTCAAGCTTTCAGCTACAGACTTAAGTTCTTGGCAGCACCAGGCCTCTAGAGGATTCTGAAGAAGTGTAACTTGACAAAAACTACACTTGCACCTGATGAATAAAGAAAATCACATTAAAAAATTGTAATCGAGCATCTTTTAACAATTTTTTGCCCAAAAAGTAAAAAAAAGCGATTGTAATCTTGAATAGAAAATTGCACGTTTATGTCTATATTTCATAACTTGAAACCTGAATTGAAATACATTTCATAAGTTGAATTGAAATTAGAAATTTTATTACTCACCAAGAACTCAACTCAACTGTGTGATCAAGTCTTTTTTGTAGCATTTCAAGTTGCTTTTTATGTTCATTTGACTTTTCCACGTAGTCTTCATACCATGCTTGTTCGGCCATTGGTTCATCAGCGTATAGATAGGACTCGGACTCGCCGTAATTTTCATTTATTTTATTATATTCCTGGTCATTAATGTTCTTTGTTTCATCTTCGATGACATAACCGGGAATATAATCATACTCGAATCACATTGCGAACTATGAGAGCTTTCCGAATCAGAATTCAACTCCGCCATCTAATCGTTTATAACAACAAGACCTTGACTTGTTCCTTAAGTTACGTCACAGAGACTTGATCCAGGCCCTATGCCAATTATCAACTTTTTCTGTCAAATTTCATATTTGATCAATAATAATTCGAAAACAATGCATCGCATGGAAAAATTGTAATATAAGTTTTAGATTACTTTTGAAGAAGCAATACGAAAATTCGAAAAAAAAAATTGTGAGATAAGCACTTTAAAAGACAAATACACACTCAATTGTACAGAAGAATCATGCTGTGCATGAGTTGCATTGTTCTTATTTTATAATAAAGTATAAAACACACTGGTTATCTAATTGTACGAATTCTTAAAGACATGAGTAAAAAAAATCTCTAACACATATCAGCTTAAAATCGATTGAATGAGGAATACAAATGAAATAATTTTGTATATTGCCTCTTAAAAAATATGCAAAATGAAATAAAATAAACATACAATTTTTCTAACTTTTTAAATTTTCAAAAAGTTGATAAAGGGTTATATATTAAATGCTTCGTACAGATTCACAACAAAAAGTCTTTAGTATTTTCCATTTAATTTTAAACTTTTTTATAACAGAGAACATTAATGTATGAAGAAAGAAGTAATTTGGGCAAAGCATTTTCTCTTTCGCTGAAGAGTGCAGACTGCCAATCAAAGGCTTGAAAGGATAATTTAGTTACCTAAGAACATAACTTGAGTTCTGGTCGCTAAGCATTCAGATGTTTTTTTAGGAGAAAACACTTTCGAAAACTACGCGCATAAACTTTCTCTTTACATTTTCAGTTGGGATGTAAAAAGCATTTATGGTTATTTAAAGTGAAATATTCTAGCTGATAGTTCATAACAATGCTGTCTCTAATTTCTCTAAATTTTTTTCAAAATAATACATAATATAAATCCTAACAAGGTTTTTATATTCACATGAAAAATATGTGACTTGGACGAGATTTGAACTCGTACCTTCGGAATACTAGTCCTCCGCTTTACCTGTGGAGCGGTGATGCGGTGGCACAGATGATATGGTGCCATCCAGTAATTGCTATTATGTCATAATTTTAAAATAGCTTGCAGACAGTATACAAGCAGTGGAAAGCTTCATTAAAAATAACAGAAATTGACGGGGACATTAAGATAGTGGTGAGTGTACGATCCAGGACGCGTCTATGAAAGACGACGTACACGACACTGTGTTCTAGCGTGGTTGCGTTGCCATGCCGTTTGCTGGGTTGTCAATCAATCGTTCTACCACTTAAATTTGGCATTTTTACGTCGCAAAGCCAACGTAAGATTTCAGAGGTAAGCTTATTGCAAAAACATTGGTCAAAAAACGCTACTTTCCGTTTCATTATAATTTCGTTTAACACTTTTATTTTATACCACGATTTCGTGCAGTGTAAACCTATAAAGATAATATTTGACAATATATGCATGACAATAAATCCGCCAATTTTTGTTTTAAGTGTTCGAGCTCATCGCATCATGTTGGGTTGTCAAATCGTAACAAAGTTTTTGATCTAAATCGCCAACGCACTGACCGCGCTAGAGCCCATTCTCACATACGTCGTCTCAGAAGGACGTGTCGCTAATCATAAACTTGTTAGTAATATTTGAAAGAATACAAACGTGCAAAATAATTGGCTTTTTGTTAGTAGACTTATAGTCGAGGATTTAAGGATGGACAAGTATTAAATACATTGTCTCAGAAGCAAAGCTATTCATTGTTATGGTATAAACAGATAAATTCATACTAACTTGATATTTAGTTACTGAAATTGTAATGCAATCGATAGACGAACGGCGCTCACGACTTACAAACATGCACTACCTTTTTTGGTTCCGCTAAGTAGATGACACAATCACAGCACTACATGTAGACGAGATTGATAACTTTCACACTCACATCAACAAACAAAACAGCCACATACAATTTACCAAAGATGTCGAAGAAAACGGAACTCTTCCTTTTCTCGACTGTTTGGTAAAACATGACAACCAAAAACTACGAACAACAGTTTATCGCAAGCCAACACATACTGACCGACTACTAGAACAATCATCTTACAACCCTACATCACACAAAGCCACCACAATCAGAACATTAACAAGACGTGCACAAATCATATGTGATTCACCGGACGCTCTACAAACGAAAACATCTATCTCAAACGTGCTTTTAACAAAAACAACTATAACTCTGACTTTATCAAACGCAACCCTTACAGCTTAACGAACCCAACGAAACGAACAACTCAGTGACAACAGCAACGATACCTTACATCAAAGGTACGTCTGAGACTATCTTGCGTATCTTACGACCATAAAACACACGTGTAGCACATAAACCAATCACAACGTTACGACAAGTACTAAAGAACATAAAGGACGAAGAGTGTTGTATTATTGTTTTATTGGTATTGGTCTCCCTGTGCCACTATCTGCGGTACTTCAGACCAGCGGTACTCATATATATATATAATCCGCCATATTATTGTTTTGTAGTATTTTAAGTAGTGTTTTAAAGTTAAATAAAGCCAGAGAATGGTAAATTACAACAATTTATTTAACTTTATTTAAATTCTTCAATATGGAAACGATATTGAAACCGCAACGTCTCGACTTGGACCCAAATTCGCCGTCAGCCGCGAAAGAGTGGAAACATTGGCTCCGAACGTTCAACAACTTCATTCAAGAATGCGGCGATAAAGCCCCAAACAAACACCGTACTCTCATCAATTATGTCTCTCACAACGTTTACGATTGCATCGAAGATTGTCAGGACTTCGATTCGTCTATTGAAGCACTAAATAATCTGTATATCAAGCCTCCGAATGAAATATTTGCACGTCATCTACTTGCTACAAGGCGCCAAAAGCCTGGTGAGTCGCTTACAGAGTTCCTACAGGAACTTAAAAAGTTAAACAAGGATTGTAACGTCAGAAGTGTGACTGCAGAACAATATAGGGAGGAATTAGTCCGTGACTCATTTATTAATGGTCTTCTATCACCACTAATCCGCCAACGACTTCTGGAGAACAGGCAACTCGAATTGAAGACGGCGTTTGATCAGGCCAACGCGTTAGACTTAGCCCAGAAAAACTCTGAAGCCTATGCTCCAACCGAAAACTCGGCAGCTTCTATTTCTACTGAAAGTGGTGGTGAGGAACCTTTACCAAGTGATAACCATGTGTCAGCAGCAGTCAAACCCCAAAGAAAATGTTATTTCTGTGGCGGCCCTATTCACAATAGAAAGGAGTGCCCTGCACGTAGCTGTGTCTGCAACAATTGTGGTAAAACTGGCCATTACGCTAAAGTTTGCCAGTCTCAGGCTGTAAAAGGGACTAAGACTACAGCATCAATAAGATCTGCCTCACTCTGCTCCATAAGTGCCGCCTGTCCAAAGAGCCTTAGGCAAGCATCCACCAAAGTCAATGTCAACAATACTGTTCTTACTGCCCTTGTTGACTCTGGGAGTTCAGATAGCTACATCAACGACAAGGTAGCTAACCAGCTCAACCTCAAATTACTCAAGTCAGATGACAGTTTGTCTATGGCTCTCACATCACTTAAAGCCAAAGTTCTTGGCCATTGCTTTGTTGACATCCAACTAGGCCACCAGTGCTATTCATCTGTACGTCTAGGGGTACTGAAGGATCTCTGTAGTGATATCATTCTTGGCCAGGACTTTCAAAGGGAACATAAAAGTGTTGTCATTGAGTTCGGTGGGGAAAAGCCCGAACTTAAAGTACCCAACGGGTACCTGTATGTGCTCTTGCAGCAGCATCTATTGAGGAACCATCCCTCTTCACGAACCTCCTCCCCGAATGTAAGCCTATCGCAAGCAAGTCGCGGAAATTCAGCAGGGAGGACCAGGAATTTATTAAACAAGAAATTAACCACCTACTCGTTGAAGGCAT